ACTAGCCCGACCGACACTTCGTCACAAGTCAGATTCACGCGTCAGGGATTATCCAGCTTAACCACATTAAAGAGACCGACGACCAGATGTGTATGCAGTAGTAGTACGTTACGTAGTTCTTAATTCGCTTCTTCATCTTCTGGTTTCTTTTCTTCTCTGGAAAACTAGCAAAGAAAGTAAATATAGAAATGGTTGCCAAGATTACCTGATTGTTGTTTCATGTTATCCTACACCTCTCCTAGGAAAATTGGTTTGACATCATATTCGCCATCATGTTAATCATGTTTTTTTTCTGGTACCCGCAACTTCGTTCGCGTGGAATTTGAAAAGCGCTGCCTGTGTTTTCTGATAGAAAAAATAACCTAAGTTATTCCTTATGTAGACAGCTACCTGGTAGTAAAATATTCTCGAAATCGGTCCAGCCGTTTAGAAGATTACCCAAAACAAACAGACAGACAGATAAAACAAATTCAAACTGGTTTTTAGGGATAGGTATCGTGCAAATAACCGCGTGAGCTTGAAAAAAAACATAACAAACAGACACTTCAATTTTATTTATCTGATAGATAATGTTTAAGTTAACTGGATACGTTTCTATTTATTTTAAAGATCTTAAGCCGGGCACAAATCAACAGCCGATACTTCTGTATGCATTTGACATAATTACATAATAAACAAAGCTTAATTCATTACACTCATTCACCACGTGTTATGTTTACTATATATTGTGTGTATGGATAAACTGACTATTTTGATTGCCTATGGAATCTTCTCTTGTTATTTTTTAATTACTTTTATGTACCTAACAAGTCCGTCCGTGTGGTGACGGATTAAGAATACAGAGTGTCACCACCCCTATTCATCCCGTGGGTGTCGTAAGAGCCGACAAAGGGAAAAAACTACGCAGAACACCAGCACTGCAGAGAGAAGGAAAACTTGACACAAACCCTATACCAACCCGTCTGGCCAGCGTGGCATAGTAGGCCAAAACCTTCTTTCTAAGGAGAGGCTTACGTCCAGCAGTGAACTGTTAAAGGCTGATGATGATGATGTACCTAACAAGTGACGTTTTTTAAATAAATGTCCAAAGTTCAGGTCAGGTAGCTTTTGTACATATACTTTATCATCTGCCGCGATATCGTAAACTTTAAATTATTATATTAAATGTATCGTAAACATTTAATAATACAAGTACTGCTGATGTAGTATAGATGTTTTATCGCTAATTTTACCACTCAATATCACTGAGCATAGTTCAGACAAAATGTAGTATTGACCTTAGATAATGTGTCATACATGTGATTGTACGAGTATATGATGTGTTTGCTTTACAATTACATCATCTTACCAAGGGTCTGATTCTTTGCCCCTATATGTGATGATATAAAGGTTAAACGGGCAGATGGACCCTTGGACACGTGCAGCTCAAGACACCTGCGTGCGACTGCTGTGCTGAGGTCTCGGACACGATGTTTGTATGATCTGCAAATATTTGTTTTAGAGTTTGGGTGTTTTCTATGTATAATATGTATGCATTTACAGAAAAGTAAATAAGTATTCTATCAGTCAATCTAGCTTTCATAATACAAGCTCTGCTTAGTTTGAAACTAGATGGCGTTGTGTTTCAGATGTCCGAAAATATTATTATTATTACCTCTGGAATTAGAAATGAAATGAAATAGATTTTCAATCGAGTCAGAATAATAAAAAAAAGTAAACAAGTTTTTTTGTTTATTACAATCTTTAATACAAGGTGTCTCAAAAGAAAGTTTATATTTATTTAGCTTACTGCGTGAACACAACGAGTCCGAGGGGCACGGGGGTTATGTCAATCGGTAGCCTGGCTCTTGGGAATTCAGTTGCTATGGAGCGTTTCTCGGGAGCAGACCGTACGTTGTGCGTGCGAGAGTTTTACAAAAACGGTGATTCGGCGACTGTAGCGCGTAGAAGGTTCTGTAGTGTTCGAGGTTTTCGCCATTTAAATGATGCGCCAAGCATTCCTCTTATTTGAAAATGGGTCAAAAAGTTTGAAGAGACCGGTACAACGCTGGAAAAACCAAAATCCGGGCGACCAAGGTCATCAAGAACGGTAGAAAACGAGGCGAGTGTTAATCAGTCTGTTCGTGACGACCCGAACCTTTCAATTCGGAAGCGCGCAAGTGCTTTAAATGTGCATAGATCATCATTACACCGCATTTTGCACAAAGACCTAAATCTGCACCCCTACAAAATTCAATTGGTGCAAGAATTAAAGCCCCAAGATGCCAGTCAGAGGCTTGACTTCGTAAATCAGGCGATTGAGCGCTTTTCAACGTTTACCAACATCTTGTTTTCGGATGAAGCTCATTTTCATGTTAATGGACACGTAAATAAGCAGAATTGCCTAAAGTGAAAGTATGGGCGGCGATGTCGGCGCGAGGAATTATCGGCCCTTACTTTTTTGAAGACGAAAGGGGGCGTGCAGTTACAGTGAATTCAGAGCGTTATGTGGAGATGGTAAACGACTTCTTGGCGCCTGAACTGCAAAACTTGCCTGGCCATAACTAAAGAACATGGTTCCAGCAGGACGGAGCAACGTCACACACGTCCAATACGTCTCTGCCACGAGTTCGTGAAATTTTCTCAGGAAAATTGATCTCCAGGAGAGGTGACATAAATTGGCCTCCACGCAGTCCTGATTTAACCCCTATGGACTTTTTTCTATGGGGTTATCTTAAATCTAAAGTTTACGCGAATAAACCGACTTCCCTGGCGCATTTGAAAGAAAATATCCGTCACGAAATGGCAGCCATCACTGAGTTCACCTGCCGAGCCGTCATAAGTAATTTTACTGTTCGATTAAATGAGTGCTACGAACGCGAGGGTCTACATTTGGAGGATATTATTTTTAAGAAATAAATGCCCAAATTGTGTACTTTAATAATTAATGAACATTTTTTCGATACACTGCTTACTTTTTTTTAAATCGATCTACTAAATATAAACTTTCTTTTGAGACACCTTGAAGTTGTATAGTTTTTTATTTTATGACCTAAGTTGCGATAGAGTCCGTTCATTTTGTTCACACATTTTGTATGACCTGTATATATCTATCTAACGTTACGTTACAATTTAATCTAGTTTTTTACCAATTTAATTACGTTTGATTAACTTGACAATTTGCACAAGTATGGGGTTCTTAACGTGAAAATATTATAAATAGTTATTTGGCTATTTATAAAAGTAGCAATATCATCATATTATAAAATAAAGTAAGCAGCCGCAACTGCATGTGTTTATCTGTCTACATAAACGCGTTAAACTCCCAAAAGTATCAAATCGATTTTCATACGTTTTACACCAATGAATAGAATGGTTCATGAAGATTGTTTGGATGTATTTGTTAAGATTTTGAATTAATTTTGATGGAATAGGAATTAGCTCGGGATCTTTGCTGGTCAGCTCGGTATTATCCTATAGAGTTATACATGTAAAAAGAATAAAGTTATGGAATTGAACAACAAAGCAAACGAGCTAATGAGGATGAAGAATTTTCTTGAATTAGTATAGATTTATCCATCCTAAAACTTGCTGCAAGTAATCACTTGTAGGCATAGGCAGCCGTATACCTGTATACATATACACATATTTACTTTATGTATCCTTGTAAGACACTTTTTGTAAAGTGCAGTTCACCATTTAGTGTACAAATACCTCTTAGTAACAGATGTTGATATCAAAAGTCAAATAAGTCAATATTGTGATTACAAGCGTCAATTCCGTCAATCAGAGAGCTATTTATATCGCCTGGGTCTATCACTCGCTTGTTAAACATGACCCAAAACCAGTTCACTTGAACAGATAAAATGTAATTCTACAAGTTTTCTTTTGTTCCTTATTATTAAATGGCTGTTTATTTTTTTTATTTTGGTATAACTTTTAGCATTGTGGTCTTTAAAACGGTTACTGAATTATTAAAACAATATAACGTGTCTTTTTGTTGTCTGTTTTAAATAAGAATACAATATTATGAAGACTAAAATACTCGTATATACATAATTTAAACAGGAAAAGTTAAACTGTCTTGGAGCCCGCAACGAAATTAATCAGAAGTGATGAATTAATTAGATTAGTTGGAAATGTAATAAATCCATATTTCTCATTTGCAAAGCAGGAGATAAAAATGAAGTAAAAATAGTGCGTTAATTACAACTATTTTTGAGCTTAGACCATTATTTTTCCTGTAAGTCTAGATACATACCACATTTGATAAATAAAAAGGATATTTTTAGTTGTTTGTAATTTCCTGATTCATTTCATTTCATTCATTCACAGTAATTACTCACAAACTAGAAAAAAAGTAAACACGCGATACGGATGCGCGACCCCAACCTTTTCTAGCTGTGTTTGTGCCTTCTTCTTTAATTTTTCTCATCCCGATTACCTTTTTTATTTGACTCCTACACATTCCCAAGGATCTCCAACGTCCATAAGCGCTGCTCTGAGGGTAACGGTGAGTTGGAACGTTACTCTAGCAGGAGCAGGCCTGAAACGGTGCCAAGACGTGTTCCTGGCAGGCCTCTCTAAATCCGAAGGAGGGCGTTCTGCACTCACCGGTGTGGCTGGCCAAGGTCTGCCTTCTTTAGTGTATACCCAAGTCCCTTAAAAGAGACTCACAAGTGACGGAACACCGTGTGGTTTTAGTCGGTTCGGTTTGGTCCCGGTGAGGTAAATCCCCGAAAAAAATGGGTTAGCAGGCAGGCGACCGGCCCTAAAAAAAATAGCTAATACTCTGCAATATAACACACTACTTCGAGACCAAAACAAAATTGGGGAAAACGCGAATAGATTGTGTGTGAATAATAATAGTGATAATTCGAGAACGAATCAGGCCCTATAAACGTTTGTTTTAAATCCCGTATTTTCTCATTGCTCGTTTGCCCCTATTCCATAAGAATAAAAATAAAAAAAACATTGACTCCTGGAAAAGAAAAATTCTTATTGAAATATGTATTTTGCAGTGAGAGCAGCATGTTCGTGTCTCGTCGCCGTTGGATCTTAAAGACTTGCGGCACGACGACACCTCTGCGATGTGTGCGAGCAGTGCTGAGCCTGGCGCGCGACGTGGCAGGCCACTCGCGCGTCCACAATGTGTTTTACTCGCGGCGAGAGTTTGCTCGACCCGCCGCGCAGTTACAGCCCCATGATAATTTTGACTCAGAGGTTAGTTAACTTATATATACAAGCGTAATTTTAAGTGTGAGGGTCAGAGCGCCTATTGAGAGTTTATTTTATCCCTCCCGACGGCGACCGCGTTGCGAACGGTGAAGATTTCACAACGCCAACAAAATCGTTGGAGCCGTTTCCGAGATTCATACAAGAATTGTTCGTTCAAAGGTATTAGATAAACCTACACTAGGCCTTCTGATCTTGCAAGTAGATAAAAAACGTTTATGATGTGTAATAAAAGATATCCAGCACTGCGCGCGCTTATTCTTTACACATTTCCGTTCGTACACCAGGTTTCTGTTACACATTTCCGTCCCTTGTCCCTTGTGTAACTAAACAGGACTCGTAACTTACGTGTATATAAAAGGTTCTATGAATCTGGAAAAGGCGCAAGCTAAATGTAAGGATAAATAGCGCTCTATCGTCTCTGCCTACGACGGACGGGAATAGGGCGTGAATGTATAGACGTATGTATTCTATGAATTCACATGATGGTAAAAAAGGTGTCTTGTGACCACTGCAATAAATTAATATTACAGTCTGTCAGTAAAGTCATAAAAATATCAGGTATATGTCTCGTTTCGACTAATCTCGTAAACCCGTTGAACCGATTTTTACGGAATTTTAACTGGCAGATACCTGATATTATAAGGAGAAACCTGAGTTACATTTTTTTTTGACAAGGAATATACACGCGAATGAAATTCCACTGTTTTGCTAGTATAACTGTAACTATAAAAGTTAAACGTCAATTTAAAATTAGTTTCTAACGTCAACCTTAACGATATGTGCTGTATTGTAGTAATAACTTGTGTGACGTCAACCATTGCTATCGTATAATCGTACACTTTTAATGCATTCTTTGACAATTAAAAATGTAAAGAAAAATAATGACGGAACGAATTTTAGTAAGTCTTTTTAACATGAAATAATTTGTTATTACCGCAATATAATTTAGTTGCAAACTCTTATCGCTTTCGACATGCAGGTGGAGGTTTTATCGTAATTCGTGTAAACTATGAGTCACGTAATGAATAGTACAATGAAATTCTTTTTTAAAGTTTATCACAAGTCTCATTTAAACAACAAGTTGACATATTGAACCCGACTGTACTGTTCCTCGAAAAATGCGAACAATGTACCATGTAGCTACATTCGCGTACAAAATATTCACAAAGTCTTTATTGATTGTAGTTGAACCACTAGGGACTGCTACCTAAAGTTGCCTAAGCAGTGTTGCAACTTTTTTGCTGTTAACAAGAGTAGCCAGTTCTAACTACGTAGAATCCCACCACTGGTTTTTGTTAAGCTGTGTGTTAGTTTGTCACCTTTATTCGTCTTACTCTTACCGTTAGAATCGGTGATAGTTTTCGTTTCTTTTACACTTTTATAAGGCATTCGGCGCGCTTTATGGTAAGCGTTTACCATAGCTTATGTACTAGACTTACTCGAACATTGTCGACCCCGTAACAAGGTAGTCAAGTAGATAAAAAAAAATCGTAGAGTATTTATAACCGATTTCAAAAGTCGGTGATGTTATTTTTTATCCCAATAAAACTTTTGATAATGATTGTACTTTTTATCATAAAGATGATTACTTTGGGGTTAGTTACACGCGTGTATAAAGTGAGTCCGTGTGAACTGTGACGGGGAGGTTACACGATAGCGTATTATCGACTTACGAACTCTGAATTGAATCTTGAATCTTTATTGTCGCACACTTTTTGTTCCAGAAGATATTAGCTGGACGATATTCTTTTTTGTAGTATAGGTAGGGAGAGGAGGGGGGGCTGCGAGCAGACGGGTCACTTGATGGTAACTCATTATCGCCGCTTATGGACATTTGCAAGTGAAAAGTCACAAGTGTTTGAGGCCTATCCCCCCAGAATTAATCCCTATTTAATATTGTATCAATGGAATGTCGTCGGAATAGTTTTGCACTTTTCCTATTCTACTAATTACGAGGGGTGATCAATAAGTAATGATAATCAATATGAAACAGAACTATTAGATTAAAAAAAGTATTTTATTTTTCAACATAGTCTCCTTGCAAGTTAATACATTTAGTGTATTTTTTTTCTAAGCCCATGATTCCCTTAGAAAAAAATTCTTTGTCTTGACCCTCCCAAAATGCCTCTACTGCGGCCATCACTTCACTATTGTCCTCAAATTTGTTGCCCCGGAGGTTTTCTTTGAGCCGAGGAAAGAGGTAGAAGTCACTGGGAGCTAGATCTGGCGAATAGGGAGGGTGTTCGAGCAGTTCGAACCCCGTTTCTTCAATGGCAGCCATCGCAACTGCGGCTTTGTGAGCCGGGGCGTTGTCTTGGTGAAACAGCACTCCAGCGCGCAGTTTACCGCGTCTTTTTGACTTAATAGCTTCTCGCAATCTTCTTATTTGGCCTGCGTAGTAAGAGCCTGTTATAGTGGCCCCCTTTTCCAAATATTCCACCATAATAATTCCTTCTGCATCCCAGAAAACAGACGCCATAACCTTTCCCGCTGAACTTGACACTTTGAATTTCTTCGGCGTTGGTGAGGAAGATCGTTTCCAAGTCATTGATTGTTGTTTGGTTTCGGGATCAAAGTGGTGGATCCAGGTCTCGTCCATGGTCACAAAACGCGACAAAAAAAATTCTTTATCGGCCTGGAACTTTTGAAGATTCACCCTCGAAATGTCGACTCGTTTCTTTTTTTGCTCGTCGGTTAACATTCTCGGTACCCAACGCGCAGAGACCTTTTTCATATGCATTTTGTTGACAATGATTTTTTGAACGCTGCCATAGGAGATCCCTGTGACCTCAGCTACATGCCTTACGGTCACCCTTCGATCGGCCAACACGATATCTTCCACTTTTTTGACGTTTTCTCCAGTAAGGGACGTGGAAGGGCGTCCCTCGCGATGTTCATCTTCAGTGGAGGTTCTGCCCAGCTTAAATTCCTTTGCCCAGCGTGCGACTGTGGAATATGGAGGAGCAGACTCCCCCAATGTTTCCTCTAAGTCGCTGTGTATGTCTTTGGTAGACATTTTTTTCAGGGAGAGGTACTTGATGACAGCTCTTATTTCATTTTTCTCCATTTTGATGTTTTCTCTTCGACAGTTCGTATTTTGTGGTTTTTGTGGTTTTGTTTTGCGGTTTTTGTGCGTTCTAGAAATACTCGATTATCATTACTTATTGATCACCCCTCGTACGAGGGGTGATCAATAAGTAAACCAAACTTATTTTTTTTCTGCTTGCTTATATATCCACTACTTCAGCTTCAAAAAAATGTATAAATAGGACACCATTACCGGGAGATACATTCATTTGAATACGAACTGTCGAAGAGAAAACATCAAAATGGAGAAAAATGAAATAAGAGCTGTCATCAAGTACCTCTGCCTGAAAAAAATGTCTACCAAAGACATACAAAGCGGCTTAGAGGAAATATTGGGGGAGTCTGCTCCTCCATATTCCACAGTCGCACGCTGGGCAAAGGAATTTAAGCTGGGCAGAACCTCCACTGAAGATGAACATCGCGAGGGACGCCCTTCCACGTCCCTTACTGGAGAAAACGTCAAAAAAGTGGAAGATATCGTGTTGGCCGATCGAAGGGTGACCGTAAGGCATGTAGCTGAGGTCACAGGGATCTCCTATGGCAGCGTTCAAAAAATCATTGTCAACAAAATGCATATGAAAAAGGTCTCTGCGCGTTGGGTACCGAGAATGTTAACCGACGAGCAAAAAAAGAAACGAGTCGACATTTCGAGGGTGAATCTTCAAAAGTTCCAGGCCGATAAAGAATTTTTTTTGTCGCGTTTTGTGACCATGGACGAGACCTGGATCCACCACTTTGATCCCGAAACCAAACAATAATCAATGACTTGGAAACGAGCTTCCTCACCAACGCCGAAGAAATTCAAAGTGTCAAGTTCAGCGGGAAAGGTTATGGCGTCTGTTTTCTGGGATGCAGAAGGAATTATTATGGTGGAATATTTGGAAAAGGGGGCCACTATAACAGGCTCTTACTACGCAGGCCAAATAAGAAGATTGCGAGAAGCTATTAAGTCAAAAAGACGCGGTAAACTGCGCGCTGGAGTGCTGTTTCACCAAAACAACGCCCCGGCTCACAAAGCCGCAGTTGCGATGGCTGCCATTGAAGAAACGGGGTTCGAACTGCTCGAACACCCTCCCTATTCGCCAGATCTAGCTCCCAGTGACTTCTACCTCTTTCCTCGGCTCAAAGAACACCTCCGGGGCAACAAATTTGAGGACAATAGTGAAGTGATGGCCGCAGTAGAGGCATTTTGGGAGGGTCAAGACAAAGAATTTTTTTCTAAGGGAATCATGGGCTTAGAAAAAAGATACACTAAATGTATTAACTTGCAAGGAGACTATGTTGAAAAATAAAATACTTTTTTTAATCTAATAGTTCTGTTTCACATTGATTATCATTACTTATTGATCACCCCTCGTATGTAAGAACAATGGCCTCCCGGTGACTTGTCACTGATACAAATGTCGTCGATGTCTTTGTAACAGTTTTGCAAACATTACTTAAATTTGTAAGAAAATGATTTATTTAATTTGCCAGGTATGGCAATGTTGTTGAAATCACCATTGATGACCTATATTACTATATCGACAGTCTATTGACATTGAAATCATGTTAGTAGAATACTGATATTTTGACTGATGATAATGGCGTCTCAGTGGCATCTCAATAGCGTGTCAATGAAATGACAGTAGCTTGGCGTTAACATAAAATAGCAGAATTGAGGCACAAATGTGTTGATTTAATTATATCATTATCAATGCAGAGCGCTGCAGAATGCAATCTTTTTAACAGCATTTCTTTTAATTTCTAGTTTCTATCACTTTTTAAAATACGAATACATTCATAAAAAGAAAACCCATAAACATATGCATTTATAGATACCAGCTTTTGCTCGATTAACATCGATTCAGTCAATAAAATTTTCTAGATCTATCTCTATACCAACATTCATGCAGATC